TATAAGCAAAAGTAAAAGATAAATAGTGTTGGCAGCAGTAAGTGCATATACAAGATGGGTAAACACCAGGCAATGCCTTGAAAAACTGGTTGGAAACATCTATCCATATTTAAAAACTCATATACCATCTGATCCAGCAATTTCATTTTGAGAAATTTATCCCGGATACATTCAGGAGGTCAGTTTAAGGCATGGAATCTGGAGTCAGAAAAACCCCGATTCAAAGGCTAGCTCTGCCACTAACTAGAAAGGTATTTATGCATGCCAGTGGCCTTTTCCGAGCCTCAGTTTCCTCCTCTGTGAAAGTAGCAATGCCACCTACTCCTCGGGTTATAGCAAAGACCAAATGAAAAATACACATGCAAAGCACTCAGCACAGCCCCTGGTAAATATTGACAATTCACAGACATCGGTCATCCTTGCTAGAAGAGGGGAAACAATTCATCAAAGATCTAAACCGGGCACTTACAAATAACACAGAGACTCCCGAAGATCAAATGAAACACTGACTGGGTATCAATAAGCGTTTGATGGCTATGATGTGGTCGGTTACACACACTCTTGGCCTCTACACACTTTTCTCAATCAGGCCCTGCAACTAGAGCGCTGCGGGCTAAGTCTGTGTGACTAAATGCAGAAGGAGCGCAGGACTCCAGATCTTGTCCCTTTCAGGCTTCCCTTGATAATGTATCATAAACTGTTTTTCTTTTCTTTTTTTTTTTTTTCTTGAGACAAAGAATCTTGCAGTATCACCCAGGCTGGAGTGCAGTGGTGCGATCTTGGCTCTCTGCAATCTACACCTCCTGGGTTCAAGCAATTCTCCTGCCTCAGCCTCCCGAGTAGCTGGGATTTCAGGCATGTGCCACCACACTCAGCTAATTATTTTGCTTTTTTTTTTTTTTTTTTGCAACGGAGTTTTGCTCGTTACCCAGGCTGGAGTGCAATGGCACGATCTCAGCTCATTGCAACCTCCGCCTCCTGGGTTCAGGCAATTCTCCTGCCTCAGCCTCCTGAGTAGCTGGGATTACAGGCACGTGCCACCATGCCCAGCTAATTTTTTGTATTTTTTTTAGTAGAGACGGGGTTTCACCATGTTGACCAGGATGGTCTCGATCTCCTGACCTCGTGATCCACCCGCCTCGGCCTCCCAAAGTGCTGGGATTACAGGCTTGAGCCACTGCGCCCGGCCCTTTTTTGTGTGTTTTTAGTAGAGACAGGGTTTCACCATGTTGACCAGGATGGTCTCCATCTCCTGCCTCGTGATCTGCCCCCCTCGGCCTTCCAAAGTGTTGGGATTACAGGTGTAAGTATCGCGCCTGGCCCCATTAATTGTTTCAAAGAGTACTTAGAGGGACAGAGAAACTCCAAATAACCATGAGAAGGACCACGAGAAGCAGGAACCTGGCATGGGTAGCCACGCACTGTGACCGGGAGTAGAGGCTGGCTTGCCAGCTACAAGGGGCTGGGCTCCCCACTGGGCATCAGACTGTGGGATGGGCAAGGTGGTACTGCCTGCCTTCCAGGGAGCACTCTAGGGACAGCTCTACTGAGCAGGGGCTGAGCAAGCAGACTCATATGCATGGAAGCGCCTCCGATTTGATTCTCTATCTTGCGTGCAATGTATTATTCTGCCATCCTTGCTACAGAGGACATGCAGGAGTCCCTGGCCCTAAGCTCATCAACTGGAAACAATGAGAATGTGAGTCACTCAATAAGAAACGCTCACTTCTCTTTTCTTTCTTTCTTTCTTTTTTTGAGACGGAGTTTTGCTCTTGTCGCCCAAGCTGGAGTACAATGGCGTGATCTAGGCTCACCGCAACCTCAGGTGATACGCCTGCCTTGGCCTCCCAGTGTGTTGGGATTACAGGCGTGAGCCACCATGCCCGGCTAAAACACGTCTTTAACTACATCCAAAAAAACAAACCAAACAGACCAATAAAAAAAGCAACAAACCTAGCTTCTGCTGGGCGCAGGGTACATGTGTGTAACCTCAGCAATTTGAGAGGCCAAGGTGGGCAGACGGCTTGAGTCCAGGAGTTTGAGACCAGTGTAGGCAACATGGTTAAACCCTGTCCAAACACACACACACACACACACACACACACACACACACACACACACACAAAGTGTGTTGGCCTATGCCTGTAATCCCAGTTACTCAGAGGCTGAGAAAAAAGGATCACCTGAGCCTGGGAAGTCAAGGCTGCAGTGAGTCACGATGGTGCCACTGCACTCCAGCCTAGATGACAAAATGAGACCCTGTGTCAAAACAAACAAAAAAAAAACAAAAGAAAAAACTAAGTTCTGGATCTACTGCTTTTTTTCTTCTACATTTGGTCAAGACATATTGGTACCCCAAAACGGGGTGAGGTAGGGGGTGGATCTGGCTCTGCTTCATGACCTGCCTGACACACTGACACCTGAGCATGGTCTCTCAAACGTTCTAAGGATGGAAGACACCACATTTTCCCCTCCTGGACAGACAGGGCAAAGCTACTCAGGTAACCTCCACCATGTAGTTATTCAACTGGACAGTCTCTCGGCCAAAAGAAACCTTTTCCCAAGAGTCCCTCCCACTGTAAGCGCTAGGAAGTCGGGTCAATACTGAAGAACCACGTAGACGTATGCTAGATCAGTTCTTCCTTGTGAAGAATTTCAATTCCACTGATGATCTGATTAAAAACACTCTCCCTCCCTAAGAAAAATGTTTAAATCCACAATAATTTGCACGTAATTTCTGGAATCTCAAGGGGGTCCATGGAACTGGGAGCAGCTCCCTGACAAGAACCAGAAGACTCCATCTACCTTTGTATCCTCAATGCCTGTATTCAACCAGTCTCCTGAATAAATGGAGAATTCAAGACTGTTCAATCTACCTCCAAGACAAAGTACAAGTAAGAACATTTTCATTTTGGAAGAACTGTGATGATGGCAAGTGATTACCTGAATCAGAAAATATGAGAAAAGATCAGTATAAAGAAACAGAAAATATTTTCAACCAAGAGTAGGTAGAGCCGAAGGATTAGGAATTTCCGAAGGCCCATACCTGGGGGATTTGTCCTCTTGGGTAGGTTCTTTGGTTCTTCCGTTGGTCCAAAAATATTAGATGCCATCCTATTAGGCCTGCTGGAAGGAGTAGCTTCTTCTGGACTTCCAAAAAGATTGCTCGATTCTCCTCCTGGAGGCTTCATGGCCCTACAAGCACAGAGTACACACTGATTACTGATAAATGACCTGGAAGCTTGCCACTGTGCAAGGATTTTGGCACAACTGGACAGGGTAAAAGTATTTTGTTTTTTCTTTTCTTTTTTTTTCTTTTTTCTTTTTTTTTTTTGAGACAGGGTCTCATTCTGTCACACAGGCTGAAGTACAGTGACATTATCTTGGCTCACTGCAACCTCTGCCTCCTGGGCTCAAGTGATCCTCTCACCTCTGCCTCCTGAGTAGCTGGGATTACAGGTGCCCACCACCACCACCACGACACCCTTCTAATTGTTTGTATTTTTGGTAGAGATGGGGTTTTGCCATGTTGCCCAGGTTGGTCTCAAACTCCTTAAGCTCAAGTGATTCACCCACCTTGGCCTCCCAAAGTGCTGTGGTTACAGTATCAACCATTACACCCAGCAAAATAGTTTATTAACATCTAGTAAGAAATCACACACCATCATTATTTAATATTGGTATGACTAGTTTACAGATGCCAGACTTCTTTTACTGCTCTTAAGTTTCCCTTAAAAGTGTTCTTTATGTATCTCGGTTATGCCAAAAATCTCTAGAAACTTCTGTATTTGAAATTATTCCTATGACCTCTCATAAGTAAAATTAAAGGTTCCCTAAGAGGCAAATTAAGCCACATTCAGTAGAGTTTAATACTAATTTTAATTGGTATAGAGCAGTGTTTAATACTGTAAACACATTCAGGTATTTAATGCTGTAGCCTACATTTGTTAAGTGCTTACTATATGCCAGATACTATTCTAAGCACTTTACAAGCAAATTATATTCACTTAATCCCACAACAACCCTATAGGCAAGGATTATTGGCACAGACGATACATCTGAGATAAAGAGAAATGAAGTAAATTTGTCAAAAGCTGCATAAAAGTAGTAAAGCCAAGATTTCAAACCCAGGCAGCACCTGTAATCCCACCACTTTGGGAGGCTGAGGCAGGCCCATCACCCGAGGTCAAGAGTTCAAGACCAGCCTGTGCAACATGGTAAAACCCCATCTCTACTAAAAATACCAAAATTAGCCAGGCATGGTGGCACACACCTGTAATCCCAGGTACTCGGGAGGCTGAGGTTGCAGTGAGCCAAGATTGCACCACTGCACTTCAGCCTGGGTAAAGGATGAGCTCTGGGTGACACAGCGACACTCCCATCTAAAAACAAACAACAAAACAAAACAAAACACCCAGGACACCTATATCCAGAACCTGGACCATGTTCTACTGCCTCTCTTAAGGAATGAGGACGCACCCACCATTTACCTCTAGGACATGCTTGACCCAAAGGGATAGAGCTGTGCACTTCAGTATGGGGCCCCTGGCCACGTGACCACTGAGCACACAGACAAAGCTGCTGTGTACTGAGATGCACCGTCAACCCAACCACACATCAGATCTTGCAGGCTCAGCAGAAGTAAAGGCAAAACATTTCTGCATTTTCCCCCAAGTTTCCACACACCATTGAAATCACGTCTTTCTGCAGATCACATGTTCAAGCCATATTTTGTATAGACCAGGTTGAGTATATCTATTAAAATTTCTCTTATTACTTTAAAAATGTGAATACTAGAAAATTGTAAGTTCTACCTGTGGCCCATTATCTCTACTGGATGGTGTTGGCCTAGAACAGAGGAAGTGCCACCAACGTCAATCCAGTGAGTCCTGGGAGTACACACTGGGCTGGCCACCCCTGATCCTGAAGCCTGGTGTAATGGGGAAAAGACCAAAGAACACACCACTAGCCCCATGGTTCATTTCAGATCAGCCTGTATAGTGTTCGCTTCAGCAGCACATACACTAACGCTGGAATGAATCAGAGAGGATTAGCATGGCCCCTGTGCATGGAATATGTGCAAATTCATGAAGCCTTCCACATCTATTTTGTAAAGATCAATATGTATGGAATAAATGGCATCTCTAAAATACACTGGCATTCTACCAGTATTGGTTTTAATTAAACACCAGTGAGGAATGCAGTGCTCCCACTGCTCACACACACATAACAAGACACTGAAGTCCTGCGCTTTGAGAAACTGCCATTTACTATTCAAAGTTTTAAACTAGACACTTCAGAAGTAGAGCAGAACCTTGAATAACTTTTTTTTTTTTTTTTGAGAGGGAGTTTTGCTCTTGTCACCCAGGCTAGAGTGCAATGGCGTGATCTCAGCTCACTGCAACTTCTGCCTACTGGGTACTCCTGCCTCAGCCTCCCAAGTAGCTGGAATTACAGGCACCCGCCACCCCACCCAGCTAATTTTTTTATTTTTATTTATTTTATTTTATTTATTTATTTTTGAGACGGAGTTTCGCTCTTGTTACCCAGGCTGGAGTGCGATAATGTGATCTCAGCTCACCACAACCTCTGCCTCCCAGGTTCAAGTGATTCTCCTGCCTCAGCCTTCCAAGTAGCTGGGATTACAGGCAGGCACTACCATGCCCAGCTAATTTTGTATTTTTAGCAGAGATGGGGTTTCTGCATGTTGGTCAGGCTGGTCTCGAACTCCTGACCTCAGGTGATCCGCCTGTCTTGGCCTCCCAAAGTGTAGGGATTACAGGTGTGAGCTTCTATGTCCAGCCCTTGAATCACTTTTTATTGCAAGAACTTAAGAACTAATAAGGAGTTGCCACACAGCTCTATTCCCAAAGCACAGTCTACATTAGCAAACCAGCGAAATGCTGAATTCAGAACAACTGGAAAAACTTTTCAAATGCATTTGAGAAAGAGGCCTAATGAGTTTTAAACCAGTGAGTGGCTCATGCTCTTTCAGTGGTCCTTAGCAATGGGACTGTCTGTGACAGGCGTCCCCAAACTTTTTACACAGGGGGCCAGTTCACTGTCCCTCAGACCGTTGGAGGGCCGCCACATACTGTGCTCCTCTCACTGACCACCAATGAAAGAGGTGTCCCTTCCTGAAGTGCGGCGGGGGCAGGATAAATGGCCTCAGGGGGCCGCAGTTTGGAGACGCCTGGTCTGTGATCCCAGACGTTTAGAGGCAAAGTTAGCCCTCTGTATCCACGGGCTCTTCTTCCATGGATTCAACCAAGCTCAGATCAAAACGTCAAGAATAAAAGGATGTGTACTGAACACGTACAAACTTTTTTTCTGTCATAATTCCCTAGGTAATACAGTATAATAACTATTTGCATAATATTAGGTATTAAATGTAATCTAGAAATGATTGAAAGCATACAGGAGGATGTGCATAGCTTATATGCAACACCACACCACTTCCTAACAAGGACTTAAACATCCATGGATTTTGTTATCAGGGGGGTCCTGGAACTAACTCCCCAGGGATACCAAGAATGACTGTACTTGGAATTACAGGGCTCAACACCACACAAATGACTATGATTTAAGGTTAGATCTCACTGGAAAGCTTTCCAAACACAAAAATAACAGGATATGCAAAATGTTTCTGTCTCCTCAAAAGAGCTAGAAAGAGCGCTGAGGGCTCCTTGTGATGGGAAGTGAATGGAGTTCTCAGATCTGTTGCTATAAAGCAGGAAGGCAGAGCGCTTCCCAGTCTCCGCCTGCAGAGAGACCCATGGGCTGGCCAGGCTACCACAGAAGCCAGCATGTGCTGGCAGACCTCGGAAGTGGTGCCCAGGGTCCTTGTCCGCTCAGGAGGCTGAGGGAGGCGGATGTCAAACTTCCTGTCAGCAGCTGGCATTTCCTGGAGGATTTGAGGAGTGAGGGAAAAAACACCAGGTGCATTTGAGAAAATTATTATTATTTTTTGAGATGGAATTTTGTTCTTGTTGCCCAGGCTGGAGTGCAATGATACAATCTCAGCTCACTGCAACCTCTGCCTCCCGGGTTCAAGCAATTCTCTTACTTCAGCCTCCCGAGTGGCTGGGATTACAGGCATGCGCCACCACACCCAGCTAATTTTTCTGTATTTTTAGTAGAGATGGAGTTTCTCCATATTGGTCAGGCTGGTCTCAAACTCCTGACCTCAAGTGATCCACCTGCCTTGGCCTTCCTAAGTGCTGGGAATACAGGCATCAGCCACCGCGCCGACTAAGAAAAATTATATATATAAAAAATAACCAATAACCAAGCTTAAATTAGAAAGAACTACATGAGAGCAATAGCTAGCACCTGTAATCCCAGCACTTTGGGAGGCTGAGGTGGGAGGATTGCCTGAGCCCAGGAGTTTGAGACCAGCCTGACCAATATGGAGAAACTCTCTCACTACTAAAGATACAAGAAAATTAGCTAGGCGTGGTGGTGCACAACTGTAATGCCAGCTACGGGGAGACCACATCTCTACAAAAAATACAAAAATTAGCTGGGTATGGTGGCACGCACCTGTAGTCCCAGCTACTTCGGAAGCTGAGGCTGGAGGATGGCTTGAGTTTAGGAGGTCAAAGCTGCAGTGAACCATGATTGCACTACTATACACCAGCTAAGACCTTGTTTCAGCAAAAAGAGGCTGAACAAGATTTTAGGTGAGGTGCTTTGATAGTGGCCATAATAAGGCCACCTGACTTCCATACCCATTTATGAATCATGCAGCCCTGGTAATTCTTCATGCTTTTTTGTTTTTTGAGACCGAGTCTCACTCCTGTTACCCAGGTCAGAGTACAATGCTGTAATCTCCGCTCACTGCAACCTCCACCTCCTAGGTTCAAGTGATTCTCCTGTCTCAGCCTCCCGAGTAGCTGGGATTACAGGTGCCTGTCACCATCCCCTGCTAATTCTTATATTTTTAGTACAGACGGGATTTCACTATGCTAGCCAGGGTGGTCTCAAACTCCTGACCTCAGGTGATCCTCCCCCCTCGGCCTCCCAAAGTGCTGGGATTACAGGCCTGAGCCACCACCTCCGGACTATTTTTTTGAGACAGAGTCTTGCTCTGTCACCAGGTTGCAGTACAGTAACGTTATCTCAGCTCACTGCAACCTCCACCTCCCAGGTTCAAGCAATTCTCCTGCCTTGGGCTCCTGACTAGCTGGGATTACAGGTGCATGTCACCATGCCTAGCTATTTTTTGTATTTTTGGTACAGATGGGGTTTTACCATGTTGGCCAGACTAGTCTAGAACTCCTGACCTCAAGTGATCCGCCTGCCTCGGCCTCCCAAAGTGCTGGGATTACGGGTGTGAGCCACTGTGTCCCGCCAATTCTGCATGTTTCTTAGCTAGTGCAGCAGGTCTAAACATGCGCAGGTCTCTGAAGTCACCTCTTTGGAAATAAGAGATGAAGGTCTGCAGTGTTTAGAACTGAACTGAATTTCATATCAAGCATCATGTGAGCGGAGCATGAGCTAAAATTTCTTTGACCGACTTATTTCAAACATGGCTCATCTCTCAAGCCCTCAAGGTGCTACAGTCAGATCCGATTCCAGGTAGACTCACCTTGACTGTAAGCTCTCTAGGATTCTTTCCCTACCCCACATACCCTACATTCACAGTCTCCTCTCCTCTGCCTTTTACCCTGGCTTCAGTTCAATTTACATATTTCTTGAGCACCTATCACTGGCAATCCTTCCCCAGACCCTGTAGATAGATCAAAGAGCAAGTCCTCACCCCAGAGGAGCTTCAAGTTTCAATGGGAAAGCTAGAGCTACCCACAGTGGTTTCAGTGTCTGTGTGAGTGATGTGACAGATACTGAGTACCCCTGGGACTCCCAAGTTTGGAAGAGGTGAAACCCAAACTGAGTCTGTGGCCTCCACGTGGAAAGGTACCAATGGAGCCGTAGTTACTTGAAATAACCAGTGTTACTTTGGGGTGATGGAAATACAATATTTAATATTGTTCTGTGTGGTTTTCTGAATTTTTTTTTTTTTTTTAGACAGAGTTTCGCTCTTGTTACCCAGGCTGGAGTGCAATGGCGCGATCTCGGCTCACCGCAACCTCCGCCTCCTGGGTTCAGGCAATTCTCCTGTCTCAGCCTCCTGAGTAGCTGGGATTACAGGCACGTGCCACCATGCCCAGCTAATTTTTTGTATTTTTAGTAGAGACAGGGTTTCACTATGTTGACCGGGATGGTCTTGATCTCTTGACCTCGTGATCCACCCGCCTTGGCATCCCAAAGTGCTGGGATTACAGGCTTGAGCCACCGCGCCCAGCCGGTTTTCTGAATTTTATTTGAAAACAAGCAAAGGAAAAAAAAAGTGGTGCCAAATAATGTTTTAGCAGAAATTGTGGCGCATACAGGCCCAGCCCCAGGTAAGGGGCAGCAGTCACCTCCATCAAAGGCAGCAGGTCCTACTGCAGGTTTCACACAGACAGCAAGGCTGCCTCAAAGGGGTCTCGGATGAATGGAACTCAGAGTTCAATAGACCTTTCACTAAGGACAGAGCCTGACAACAATGGTGCAGTGTGGCTTTCTGTAGGATACAGGCACGCTTACCACTATGACACTAATAGGGGGAGGGGAACGCTAGGGCTCAGACATTTGGGGACAAATTCACAATGTGGGTGGGGGTGCTTCCCAATTATTTTTTCCTTTTGTGGTATCCCTTCAAAATATTTCAGTGAAGATATTCAAAACACACACGAGAAGCGCACAGAAGAAAAACCTCACACAGCTGGAATGGACAGCAGCACTGGAGAGGTAGGGAAAACCCGTGTGGCCCTCCTGGGGGGGTCCCCATGCTCCTGACCCTCTCCAACACTTCGTCCCTGAGTTTCAGAAAGGATTAGGGGACTGGTCAGGCTTGGAGAGAAACAGTGAGAAGTAAACTCGGATTAAACTCCTTACAAATATAAACGTTACAGCTTAAAGGAAGATCTCACGTTAATCATGGCTAAAGCATAATGCTTCTACAAGATCCCTTTAACACAAGATAATTCCTCAGCAAGAAAACAAGAGATGTAAGTTCTTGGGAGAGGAAAACCTGGCTGGGTAATCTTACAGCCACCACTTGAT